ATAGATCATTGATATTAAAAATTATTTTCCCAAAGAAAACAAGGGGATACTTGGGCTAATTTGTATGCTTAATTTAAAATAACTGCCCAACACCCAGTTGTTAATTAAAAATAAATACCGAAACAGTAAAAAATTATACACAATAAAATTTAAGAACTCAACAAAATGAGGCGTTACAAACTCTCCGTTAATTACCCATACGTAAGCTGTCAAAACAAGCAAAAAAAAAATATTTCTTTTCTTCCCAAGTCTCTTTGTGTTGTTCACACTTGTGTTCTAAATAAAACTATGTGCAATCTTTGTTGTATATAAAATCCCCATTTTCCCTATTTAATTTTTTATTTTTTTGTACTCAGATGTCTACATATACAAATCATTAACATTCCACGTCAATATGCCGTTGAGTGTGAAGCGCACGCGTAGCTAATCGCAAGAAACTAATTTTTCACTTCTTAACTGACCCATGAAAAGACAATAATAAAGCGGCTTAAATACACACAAGCGTACATATATATATGTATATAATATAGCACAATGTATATAAATAAATTAAATTTCTATTTTTTCGCTACAACAGCAAAATCGCTTGTGTTGACGTATGTTTATGCGGTTCCAAATCGCGCCGCACCGCAACACCGTCGCAGACGCACAAAATCGCGATGGCAAAACGCCTCCTCATATGCTAATTATTACTTTAGCCATACATGATTTGTGTTATATGTTTTATTAACATTTGAAAAAAAAAATGAAAATAAACTGTGCAAAATTTTCTTAGACTGCTTTTCGAAATGCGAAATCCTCCGCGAGCGCGTCGTTTTCTTACACCTGACATTGCACCGTTAAAATGTGTGGAATTTCGTGTGAATAGCGCAGGTGTCCTGACTGCTCAATTTTGCACTTATTTCATTATTTAGCAATTGCAAAAAACAAAAAAGAACTCTCACACACACACTCACTTAATACAACAATAACAAAAATAAACAGCGATCGAAAACAAAAAAAAAACAAAAATAGGAAACACAATTAGTGCCAAAACAAAACAAAATAAAAAATCGAATAGCAAACAAAAAATGTCCCATCATCCACCTTGGCCCGTACGCAAAGGTATTTTCCGCTCGAGCGGCCAATCGGATTTCGTGCCGGCCCGTTCGCCCAGCCCCATCGTGGAGATGCCGCTTTCACCACCGCCGATTATAACCAGCAACGGTGGCACGCCCATCAGCCGCTTCTCGCCCACTTGTCCGCTCTCGCCGCCACCACAGCCCATACAAGTGATCGCCGGTCCACCCGGACCACCCATTACCACCGTAATCAATGACAATGTTGCCGCCACGAAGAACTCATCAGTGTCTGCTGCCGGCTCCACCTCCGCCGCCGCTGCATCTAAATCGCAAACGCAGTCATCATCGAAGTCCTCATCTTCATCGAAATCCTCGTCGTCAGCATCGGCCTCAGCGGCGCGTATGTCCGCTTCGTCATCATCATCGTCGTCCTCGTCCTCGTCCTCCTCCGCATCGGCGGGCTCCGCTACTCGATCTGTACGTAAAAATTCTTGTCCACCCTTTCAGCATTTTAGCTCATCGTCGCAAATCGCGTCACTGCCGCCACTGCCACCCCATGCACACATACAAACACAGCAACAACAACAGCAAGCATCTCCACAGTCATCAGCAGGAAATTCTACAACAACAACATTAACCAACATACACAACAACAACAGCTCCACATCCGGTACATATTCGAGTAATCCCAATCTAAGCAGCACTGCAACAGGTGGTGGTGCTATGAAAAATATTCGCGAAATACCCATCGAAGTCGAACAGAATAAGGTACACGAAAACGATTTAGTCAACGGTGTTCAAAAGTTATTTGGGTTGTGTGTGAAAAATGGAAAGAGAAACCTGCCTACACTCATTGCTAATAAAGAAATCCTAAAGGCAACTTTTTCCATACAAAAAATAATATAAATCAAATCAATATAGCCTTTTTACCAGCTTTCGCGGATGATTACTTCGTAGTTGCATTGGCTGAGCGACTAACCTAGTACCTTAAAACCTTATCTGCTTTCAGGGTCGAATGTTGCTTCTGAATCGAATCTGATCAATTTATGTATTTATAGAGTACTTGGAAATCTCCATTCGATTCTAATTTCAATACGGGCTGGGCATTCGAAATGAAACTGTTTGCGGGTTACATATTTTCTCAATCCCTATTTTTTTGAAACTCTACAAACCCCTTTGGCTCCTTGTCAGACCTCATATGGTCCATAATATATTTGGATTTCATGTTTCTTTGTGCCTGTTTCTATTGAAATTGATTATGAAGAAATCGTCGTTTTTTTCTCTTCGAATCGCTTCCAGAAGGCTTTACCTTATTTTGGCGAAGACGGGGCAAAAAGTATTCCGTCGTCGCAACCTCTTGAAGTGAGCAAGTAGTTTATCATGTCATGGTTTGGATCAGAGCCAGTTGTTTGTACCACCAATTGTAGATTGAAACCAACAGGCTGTCGATATCGACCATTCTTCAACGAGTTCACCTATTTTCGGACTGAGGCCACAACAGCCAAAACCATATACGCTAACGACCCTACAGCCATTTGGAGTTATTCTGTAAATCTATTCTTGCAAGAGCCGGATACACGCTGAAAAAGTTTCCAAGTATCCTTTTAAATGGGGGTTCTTGTGCCTGCGGCAGTACCTTTTGAAATTCAAGTCAAATTTGTAGGTAATTTCCATCTTCATTATTTACAGAGCCCTGGTTTTAAGTGAGTCGTAAGAATTACAGATTTTTCTGGTAATCCTATAAGATCACGTTTGAGTCCACCTATGTCCACCGCGTAAAGCATTTTTGAGGTTAGTCCAGGCCATTGGAACCAGAGTTTCCTAATAGACCAGCGCCCCAAATGGAACTATAGGTCTGACTAAAACATTCATTAGGCTGCATGGAGGGCCCCGCGGTCTTCCTTGTTCACTACTCAATTATCAGCCTCAAATTAAATTTGGATTTTAGAATAACTCCAATACATATCACCCTGTGCAAGAGACCCCTTTTATATAGTGAACAATTATAGCCTAGAAAACGTACTCCTCCCTCTGAGGAGCCGGGGAGCCACTCACTGCATATTGGGGCTTGCTTTGGGAGCCTAATTCGGCGTTAATGGCTCTGCTTCTTAACAAAGATACTAGAGTGGGGTGCTCTCTCTATCTGCGTTTGTTCAGTTCTTTTACTGAAAATAACTATAACCAAAATAAGGGTTGAGTGCGACGTTTTAACCTTTTCCATAGGAGTTGTTCTCTTCATCCTGTGTACATAAGTTTGTAATATAATGCGTTTCCATCCGATGTGCCATTAACTTTGTCACGAACTTGTAATTGTTTTACATTACTTTTTTCCTCTACTTTTTGTTAACTCTTCCTTCCTCAAAGCTATCAAACCTTTATGTAAAAACTCGATAACATTTACGCAGCTACTTATACGTATATTAACGCATATCACTTCTCTTTCCCGTTGCAGGAAGCCCTTTCGCTACGCACTGGCGATATTACTCAACAGGCTAGCAATAATGTGGCCGCCGCCAGTATTAAAGTGCAAAGTGACACCTTCTCCGCCGACAAGAAAGCCATCTCACAATCGCAGCAATCACAGACGATGACCTCGAACGGCATCATTAGCCAGGAGAAGCACGTCTCGTCCGCATCGCAAGCGAATTACACAATGACGCATAAAGGCGTTTCCAGTTCGGGCAGCAGCATGATTTCCACCTCCTCGCAAATGTCCGCCACCAATGGCGCACTCATCAAGCTGCACGATCTTAAGTTGGACGACTTGAAAGCGCTGACGTCCGGTAGCGGTCAGCGTGAAATCGAGCAGGCAATTGCCAAGTATTCCGGTGTATTGCAGTCATTCGTGCACACGCTGGAAGATTCCAAGGCTGCACAGGAGAAATCCATGTATTTGGAAAAGATCAATGAAGTTATGCAGCGCGCCTGGGCTGTGCCCACACATGGACATGAGCTCGGCTACAGTTTGTGCAATTCGTTGCGAAAAAATGGCGGTCTGGATTTGCTCATGAAGAACTGCGTGCAGGGCGATGAGAAAACCATCTTCTCTTCGGCCAAGTTGCTGGAGCAGTGCCTCACCACAGAGAATCGCACACATGTCGTGGACAATGGACTCGATAAAGTGGTGCATGTGGCTTGCAAGTGCACGAGGAATACCGAATATTCGCGCGTGGGTACCGGCATACTGGAACATCTATTTAAACACTCGGAAGGCACGTGCTCAGATGTCATCAAATTGGGTGGCTTGGATGCCGTACTATTCGAATGTCGTACAAGTGATGTGGAAACTCTGAGACATTGCGCAAGTGCCTTAGCCAATTTGTCTTTGTATGGTGGCGCCGAAAATCAAGAGGAAATGATCTCACGCCAAGTGCCCATGTGGCTGTTCCCGTTGGCCTTCCACGATGACGACAACATCAAGTACTATGCCTGCCTTGCGATCGCGGTGCTAGTCGCCAATAAGGAAATCGAAGCTGAAGTCATCAAGACGGGTTGCCTCGACTTGGTGGAGCCCTTCGTCACCACACACGACCCCTCAGAGTTCGCACGTTCAAATCTGGCGCACGCGCACGGCCAGAGCAAACATTGGCTGGAACGTTTGGTGCCAGTGCTTAGTTCGAATCGCGAGGAAGCGCGCAATTTAGCTGCCTTCCATTTCTGCATGGAAGCGGGCATTAAGCGCGGTCAGGGCAACACTGAAATATTTCATGAAATCGGCGCGATCGAAGCGCTCAAGACTGTAGCTAGTTGCCCCAATGCAATTGCCTCAAAGTTTGCGGCGCAAGCGCTACGGCTAATCGGCGAAACCGTGCCGCACAAACTGTCACAGCAAGTGCCACTGTGGTCTGTCGAAGACGTCCAAGAGTGGGTGAAGCAAATCAACTTCGGACAGTTTGTGAAACAATTTGAAGAATCCCAGGTAGATGGCGATCTGCTGCTCAAGCTCAACGAGGACAATCTACGCGATGACATTGGTATCGCTAATGGCATTCTGCTGAAACGTTTCGAGCGCGAGCTGCAAAATCTCAAACGCATGGCTGACTACTCCTCCAAGGACACAGCGAGAATGCATCAGTTCTTGGCCGAAATCGGGCCGGAATACTGCACCTACACATATGCAATGCTGCATGCAGGCATAGATCGAAACTCGTTGCCACAGCTGAATGAAGATATGTTAATCGCGGAGTGTGGCATCAAAAATTCGATACATCGGCTGCGCATTCTGAATGCAGTCAAGAACCTGGAAAACTCATTGCCCAGCTCATCGGAAGAGAATATGGCGAAAACGTTGGATGTCTTCGTGAGCTATCGGCGCTCGAATGGCTCGCAATTGGCAAGCTTGTTGAAGGTAGGTTTTGGCGAGTGTGCGAAAATACCACGAAAATTGATTGAATATTTTGACATCTCGCTTTCAGGTGCACTTGCAGCTCCGCGGCTTCTCGGTGTTCATCGATGTTGAGCGCCTGGAAGCGGGCAAATTCGATAACGGACTGTTGAACAGTATTCGCCAGGCGAAGAATTTCGTTTTAGTATTAACACCAAATGCGCTGCAGCGTTGCTTAGACGACGAAGAAGGCAAGGATTGGGTGCATCGTGTAAGTAGCCACAGTCACCACGATTTGTATTTGGCTTGGATCAAATTGCTTAGTGATTTTTTGTTTTTGTTGTTGTTGACGCAGGAAATCGTAGCGGCCTTGAAATCAAATTGCAATATTATTCCAATAATCGATCAACAATTTATGTGGCCAGAACCCGATCGATTGCCCGAAGACATGCGCAGCGTTTGTCATTTCAATGGTGTCACCTGGATACATGACTATCAGGATGCCTGCATCGATAAACTAGAGAGGTAAATAGCGTGGATAGGGATACGTGTGTTTGTATTCATTTGACGTATTTTCGTGGAAGCACTGAGTAGTTTTAAAAATTAAGTTTTTAATTTCGCTGTGAGGTTATGTGCAAAGCCGAACGATATTCCCTAAATTTTTTTGCTTGCACTGAATAATAACAACGAGTGTATACTTAATTAGTTTATACAAACTACATACTATTTTTGTTTGTTCTACACTTTTTCTCGATTTACCAATTCATTTCACTGCTACACCAGATGGATATCATTATAAATTTCCAGTAGCGGATTAATGCGCTTGCGGCTCAAAAATTTACGCCGGCTTTTGTCCGAAAGGTATTTCATAATTTCTTTAGCCTCTACTCTTTCATTCTCTTCTAAAATATTAAATTTCACAATCTTGTCGCTGTGGTAAAAATCTGAGCGGTCATTATAGCACTCTTAATTTCATGAAAATTTTATAATAATCTGCATAATCAGAGATGCCGTGATATGGTCATTGAAATAACTGTATATTTTAACTACCTAGTGTATGCGCCGCTTTTTAGTTCAAGATTTGCTGCAAGCTAAATTATTTAAGAAGTTTAAAATTTCTTATCATTTCTCCATTTTCCCATGCATGGTATGAAGAACTCGGAACTCAAAAACTCAGATCTTGCACATCTCATTAAAAAAAATAATGGAATTTCGAAAAAAAAAATTTAATTCAGCGCCGAAGACCCAAAATAAAAACGATTGGCCTAACTAACACACCAAAGTACATTTTCATCACATATATACATTCTTAAGTATTCATTAGACTAGTAGAGAAGCTAGATGTGCATGCGTGGCTTCTTCAAATATTCATTCGTCTAAAATATAGTTTTAACGAAAAAGTAAAATTTAATGAAATAAGTTCAGTCACTAAAAAAAAATGGAAACCGTGGTACTTAAGTAAATAATCTCGAACCAATACGGGTGAATTATGAATTCGACCCACTTCAGTGGAAGGCATATCTGAAAACAATAAGAGGACCCCGAACATATCCTCAGCCTGAAGATAAGATTTTCCCCTGGGGAGCCGAGATAAACTCTCTTGCACTGTGGTATTTTCTCTGTCACTTATGTACAGTAACCTCTTAACTCCTTGAAAATTATACAGAAAAGAAAATTGATTTTAAATTTCGTCTCGAAGAGGAAGAGCTAAAACTCTTCTGATGCTCTGGCTGAAAATTTTTCGATCACCTAATGGGACCAGAACTAATTATACTGTAGGGAAATTTTCAAGTTTTGAAACTACACAAGAAAACGCGGAAACACGTGAACTTATTAAATTCGGAAACATCATCGTGTACTACTACTATGAAGTGTTGGGTTGGGGGAACCAGAACTGAAAATGGATATGCTTCGGCATTGCACTTAGAATCCTCTTCGAAAAGGAGGATATAAAATACCATTTTCAGCTCTGTAGTTGGTTTTGCATGTAAAATGTATAACCAGTGTTCAAATGGTAGATCTGAAATTTTCTTCAAAGCAGGGACGATCAGAGAGAGCTTTCGCCCTGTGCACATCAATACAAACTGTATCGAAAGCTTAAACAAGATTTGCTCGCGGACGTTGAATAGAAAATCAGTGTAGTACAGGCATCAAGAAGGGCGATGCGAGCTTTTATTCCGTGCCTGTCCATATAAACAATCACAAGCAAAAAATGTGCCGCGGGAGAGACTTTTTAAAACTTGATAAATACTATATTTGGAGCAGTGATGCACAGAGCGAGCTTTTACTCCGTGCGTGTCCCGCGAGCGCTGTTTTGCGCATCACTGATTTGGACGCACACTGAATAAAAGCTCTCTTTGATCGCATCTGGTATAAAATGGATTAAAAGCTCAAACTAAAAGTTCCATCACAGTTTATTCTTCCGAAGTATTCGACCACCAAAAAAACTGAGATGTATTTTTTTATCTATGGACGCTTAGGGCGGGCATAAATTAAACAAAGCAAATGTTTACCATTTTTTAATTATTTATTCTAGCACATTAAACTATTCATACTTATGACTATAATTAATCATATTTCAAGATTTGTTAAATTCATGTATTTTACGAAGTTTAGATTTACATTTTTTTAATTAAATTCAATTCACCATACTTTTATTAGTAGTTTTTTAGTAAATTAAACTGATCATTCGCATGGTTCATTTACACAAATTAACTGGTAATTAGATGCAATAAAAAATCACATAACTAGTCGCTTGGGGTCCACGAAGGACAAAAGAGCCAATGATGGACAATGAACGAAAAACAAAATGGAAAGTTTAGAAGGGTATCACATAGGTCTGCAGTTTATTTTTATTAAGAAAAAAGATTCCATGTAATGAAGTATTAAATATTAATGATCATTAAATGCACATTTTGATACCATTTTAAAAAGCAAGAAACATATAGACGACTGGTTTTAAACAAAAAAGGCAATCAATTGGTTTATCAGAATCTAACGGAAGTGAATGAAAAACTAGCACAAATAAATAAATAAAATTAACGATTAGTTTCAGAGTTGTTTGAACCTCAATAAAATAATACCGTGCGTGACGTCTGGATTTTGTAAAATTTATTTAAAATATTTATCGGCTCTTGTAGATTTTTTGACGCTGAATCCAAATCTGCAGAATTTTTCTAGCACGTCAGAAGATATCCTAACCTCAAAGTGCCAAAAACTTGGTTTTTCGCGATATTTGAGGTTATATTATGAAAATACAATTTTTTTGCTCATTTCTACTTAGGGCAACATTTAGTATTACTCTTCCGCTTTAAATTTCATTTTCGCTTGTTGCGATTCGATTTTTCTTTCTCGAGATATGCCAATGTTTTAATGTCCAAGTTTTGGTGCTTTTTGAAATGTAAAAGTTGGCAACACTGCTTTGAAGGTTCAAAGATATGATTAATTAAAAAAATTATGTAAAAAATTCAATGCAATGTGGAATAACAATATGGGTATCAAATCAAAGAGAAAATTCTGTAGAGTTTTTGTGTGTAAAATTGGCTGTCGCACGGTGTTATTAGCCTTAAGGATGAGTGTACATTTGCTTTCGATGTTTGGGCAGATTTATAAATTTTTACTTCAATTAACGAAATTGCACGTCAATGCACTTTCTTCACACATACTCGTATCTACTCAAAATACATATATTGTTATGTTTATCATTCAAATTTTTCAAACTTGCTCAATAACGTTTTTTTTCTTTTCTTTTGGTTCTTCTCCTTTCATTTCTTCATTCATTTAGATTCATGCGTGGTGAAAAGAATTTGGATCGGCTTGTAGGCATACCCAGCACACCCGGTTCGGTGAGCTACCAAAGAATGCACAGCAACGATTCCGACTATCAGCAGAGTGTAGGCGGCGGCAGTGTCGTCGGTGGCAGTGGCAGTGGTGTTGTATGTGGCAGCGGCGGCGCCGGTGGTGCGGCGAATGGCAGCGGACAAGGTGGGGCACAACAAAATACGACTACAACTACAAATACAACCAATACGAATACATAGTGAGGGGTGATCCAGCGCGTTGAAATACAAAATGCAAAATGCGAAAGACGATGATAGCCTGGATTGCCCCGCAATATGAAATCATGCATATATACAGATGATAAAAAACGAGTTTGAAGAAAACAGAAAGTTATCATAAAAAAAAAAATATGATCGCAAATGGTTGACGATAATTGATGAATGCTTATGATCGTAGTAATGATTATGTGTAGATAGCAAACTCTTCGAATATTCACCTACATATACAAGCTTATAGTAATTTATTTGATAGCTATTAATTTAGGCTAAAAGTTAGTAAGAAAAGGTGAACAGAAAAAGCAAAAAAAAAAACGGAACCCCAAACCCAACTCCAACTTCCTTAACTCGAACTTAACTTAATTCTATTTACACCTTTACCTAAATATTCGATTACTCATAAAATTATTAGAGTTAAAATTTAAAAAAAAAAATTTTCTTAAAGCGTACATATAAATATATATGTACATACATATGTATATTAGGTCTAGCAGTCGTTTAAACAGTAGTTTCTATGCTCCCCACCTTCTTCTACAAAACCAATTCTAAAAAGCAAATTTTTAATGATCGTTCATATTTAATTAACACTAATTACAAACTAGCAGCTAATCACCAGGCAAATAGATACCGGCAATCTCCCTCACCGGCCAGACAGCGCGGGCCCCTCGGCAGCAACGGCCAGCTGAGCATGTTCGGGCGTGGTTCGAAGCGCAACAACATACTTCCGCCCTACCGCACCCAGCAAACGTCGGCACAGCAGAAGGCGTTGCCACTCATAGGTGGCTCCATGCAAAATGTGTCGCCATACAGCTACCGCACGCCACGCCGTAGCTCAGCCGGCGGTATTACCAATGCCAACGGCAGCGGCGGCGGCAGCAACAATAACATAAACAGTTCGGCGGCAGGTGGCGCTGCAAATTATCGCAGTCATAGTGTCGACGGCTTGTTGGACACCACCGACGGCTCGGACGACCCCGATGACCGTATTGCAGAGATGGCGGCGCTGGTCGCTGCCGGCAGCACAGCGCTCACCAACGCCAGTTCGACGAGCACACTGCAGCCCGGCAACGATTACGCCTCGTCGGTGGGTTCACTCGCCGAACTTGGCGAATCGGTGGTAGAAGTGGTGGCGAGACGTGAAAAATCAACGAATGCAGCGCCGCCCAATCCGCAACACCGCAAATCGCGCTCACTTGATCATTTTCTGGACGAGAAAACATTGGCGGTTATTACGATGCCACCCATCGCACCCATGGAGGGTACGCAGAGCATGCAAAATCTTGCCACGCCCATAACGCCCGATCTGAATCGGGGCATGCGCACACAACCGATGCCGCAACGCGCTGGCAGCGTGCACCGCGAATCGTCGTCCAACTCTAGTGCGGCCACCACGCCCGAACGCAACGTCGTGCGGAAACATCATCACGCGGTGCCGATTATACGACGTAGTCCCGAGGGTATCAGCTCAACGGAGGATGAGCGCGAGGACTCACAATCGTTGCGCAGCAGTGGCACCTCATGCGGCAGCATGCTGAGAGCGCAGACGCGCGCATCGGCGCATACGCATCGCGGTAGTCAGAATAGTGGCAAGACTTCCACAACATCGTTGGGTAGCAGCAATGCGGCAGGAAATACCCACCACCACAACAACAGCAGCAACAACGCAAACAATAAAACTATTCTGAATCGAACAATTAAAAAAGTTCGTTCGCTGATGAAAAAGTAAGCATCCCACCCACACACACAAACACACACACACACAAACAAAATTAATACTCGTTTGTCAGTCAGTCCAAGTGCATACATATATACAGCAAATCAATCGAAATCGCCATTTACGATCGCACAATGTCTTTGAATAGAAGCTATATGTGTATGAGTCGAAAACAACAGTGTGTGTTAGCATAATGTCCGACCAATCAGCAATTACATACTTAGCTTGTCTCGCTCTATGTTTGTCTCATCTAATCCAAATGCTTCATCTTATTTTTCAAGTCGCATTGTAACATACAAACTATTGCATAATTGTTTCCCACTTGTAAATATTATATCCATCACGCCGTGCTTACGTTCGTTTTGCGTCCATAACTTGTATCTACTTAGCTTAGTTATTTTTAAGACAACATTAATTGTAGTACTGTGGTTCCAATATTCTTGGATGGCAGGTTAAGTCCTTTTCCATCGTTACTTTCCAAACAAGCAGCCGAGTTTTTCATCACTTAAGCAGAGGCATGAAACAACAATGGTCTGGTCTAAAGCTCAGAGCTCTGTTGAAGATTTGTTTTTCTTTTAGGAGAATGTAAGCCTCCCAGTCGGCAAAATGCATAGCAGTTCTAAGAAACACTTTTATGAAGAACCTTTTCAATAAGACCTTCAATTTGGAAGCTGTTTTAAAAGACCAGCCAATAGCAGAGAAGATGTGTTTCCAAAGCAACGGAACAGAAGTAAAAAAAAAATATATATATCTGATAATTTCACATCAATTTTCGCCGTCTAAGGCAAGCTAAGTAAATCTGAAGGCCTTGGAACACTAGCCATTCCATCAAAATAAGAAGGAGTAGATAAGAGAGCAAGGAAGGCCTATGGCTTCAACAGATCCAAATGAGGGCTCACCGTAGGCCCTATTTTTCCGACTGGGTTATTATAACCAGGAAACTGTCTGGGTGTTGTCAATGAAACTTTACTAGTTGCGTATTAAGCATCAGAGCAGTTTTCTAAATAATCTATCTAGCGGGGACGATCACGTCGTCGGAGCTCGGTTTTTTCTACGCTAAGAGCAATCTAAGTTCTTTTAAGGCAAATCTCGGTTAAGCGAACTCGTGCGGCGCCTAAAAAAAAAGTGTTGCCTACTATAGCTCATAACAATTTTTTTTTTAGTTTTCAGTAAAAATCGTAGTTCAACTCATTTTCATACCATATTCATCAGTTATTCTACTCATAGTCACAACTTTTACTCGCTCTCTCACATACACAACTGTACCTATACACTTACTTACTATACTATACACCTACTGCTAAAATCAAAAATGGTGATGGTTGCCTGCTAAGCTTTTCTCGACTACTGTGAACTATTTTTTATTTAAAATCTTCTCTAAACTCTGCTATATTTAATCTCTTGCCCTAAGCAAAGAATAAATTTCAAATAACTCCTTGCTTTCCCTTTTGAGCCACAAACACAACAGAGCATCTATTCCCAGTTTGGCTGAGTTAATCCAATTTCCACCATTTATTCACGCTCTTTCTTTATCTAACAACTAATTGCTCGTAAGTACGAGGTCCACACAAAGAATTGCGTTACTGCGCGCATGCGCCCAAACGCCCTCAGCATTCCTCGCATATTTCATACCGAGAAGTTTCAAATTGAATGAAAGTCGGGAACTTGGCTGACAGTTTGATTGCCTGAAACAATTAACAAACTTGGCACTTTGCACATTCGAGCGATTAATAGCAGAACTAACTGTGAGAAGTATCTATTTGCCTTGTGATTAGTAACGTTAGATCGATATTGAATGATAACGGAATGCTTTTGTTTGAAAAAAAAAATATAACTCTCTAATAACAAGTTAGTTTTAGAGCTTAACATCGGCACTATCCGAGGTAATTTAAATATATAAGATGAACGAAAAAAAAAATACTAAAAAATATGAACTTTTCTCGGAACAATTTGATCAAAAAAAAAAAATTACGCATATTAAGTTAGTCAGCAGGGAAAAATCCATTCTCATTTCTACTCCTTCTCTCAATTTGCTTTTAATTAGTTATTTTTGTAAATATCCATATATATATGTACCGTCCGTTTGTCAAGAACCAGCCTCTTTATTTTACCTACAAATTTATGTAGGTAATAACTGTCTGAATAAACTAAAATAAAAACACATTTTTTTTTTGCATAAATTCAATGAATTTTTTGCTACTTAATACAAACAAATGTAGGCCTTAAATACGAGTAAGTTCAATGGACTTAACTGAAAAAGTTTAATATATTATTAACAGTTAAATTATAAAAAAAAAATATAAATATTTTACATTAAAAAGATAACTCTATAAGTGATATTTTTTCTATAAACTTAAATTAACAAATATTGTATAATGAATTTTAATTTAAACAAACATTATGAATGTCTAAAATTAATAACTTTAAAAAATAATGTTGTTTAGAAAAACATAACCAATGTTTTATTGCAAAATACTATTGGCTTTAAGTGAAAATAAAACAGAAAATATAAAAAACAAACATAAAGTTTTGCAATTATTTAAAACAGAAAACCGTTTAAAGTTAAATATTTGAAAAAAAGAAAGAGGTGCACTTTTTTCTCTTCACACAGCTTTCGCTACGCTAACAGCTTCAGGTATGCCAACAGGTTTTAGAAAAATTAAAAGTAATTTAATGTTACGTGTTTTTGAATTTTTTTTAATGCATTTTGTAAACATTACTGTCGTCTTTGTGGCTTTGTTTTAACATTAAAAAGTTTTAATTTTGCTCTGGAGTGATATTTATGTTTCAAAATTGTTTCAAATATCGATCGGTTGTGAGAGAATATTGCATTTATAATCGATTTAACTCGGATTTTCAAGCTAAGGTTTTTTTTTTAATTTAAGGCGTTTTTTTAATAACTAATATTTTTTGGATTTTTTTTTTTATTTTCTTACATAAGTATTTTTCTGCATTTTTGGAAAACGGAAGTTGTTTTTTAAACCCTTTGAAGTTTGTCTTAAGTAAACTCAGAATTACAAAAATATTAAATTGCTTACAGAAAATTGGGAAAAAATAAAAACTTTTAAAAAATTTACAAAGTTTCAAGATTTTTTTTTTTTTAGATAAGCATGATTTTCTAATAAATTAAAAAATTATTAAGAAAGATTGCGTTAGGGCGCGCGAAATTGGAAAACTCAAAAATATTTTTCGTACAAAATTTGACAGTTCAGCAAAAGTTCCGCGATTTTTGAGAATTTCGTACAAGGCAGAAAATTTTTTTAATACAGATTTTAGAACAGCCTACGCTTCTAGTTATTTATTTTTTCCTTTCATTTGTATTTCCATCATATATTGCTTTTTCTATATATCTATTTATCTGCCAACTATTGCATATCTCGTGTTCTACCTTGTTTCTTGCTTATTAAAGAAAAATAATAATTACCGTTGTATTTGTTTCCACAATTTCTTGCATTTCCCGCTACAACAATTCGCTTGTTACTCAATTTTGTAATTTTCCAATTTTCCATTAATTCTTTATCTTCATAACTAATAATTTTCACATCTTTTGTTTCGTCTTTTTTTATTTATTTATTCGTAGACCATAAGAGAGCATCAACTACTTCTTCTTGTTGCGCCTATTGCCTGAAATCGTCGTGCACGTTCACGCCCATTTCAACAATGTGTCTGTCTCCTACGCAACAGCATCCCAGTGTCACCTAAATTGGACATCCATAACTCTACCGTGGACTGTTGTTTAAAAACGCATACATAAAAGCTCTTAAGCCCAAATGTCTCATGCAAACGCAAAAAGCGCTACTACATGCCACTAGTAACCAGTAGCTATCCGAAATATTGGCCATTACTAACCACATTGTTAGCGATTGCTGCATTGCGAGATGTCTTTGAGCATAAACTGCGTTTTCTTTAAATGTATTTTGTATTAATTAGCTGTAAAATTTGTACTTTTAAGCACACTGACCACTTTTTACTATCTAAATATTTATTAATCTTCCAATCACTTTTCCAAAAAAAAAAAAAAAAAACGCCTAAATAAAGTAAGCACGACATTAACGAAAATTTAATTTTAAATCTATATTTTATTTAAATATAATTTTTTTTTTATGATAATCAGGCTTTCTTCTGTTTTTACACACATATTACACCGTGCGACAGTCAATTTTACACACGAAATGATCAATATACCTATTCACAAAACTGGGTGCCAAATATGGCTAAACTGCGTTTTTAATTTTGCTCTGTGGTGTTAAGATTTTTTTTTAAAAGGGCTTTGAAATTTCTAGAATATGATTGAATAAAAAATGCAACATATATTTTTTAAAAATAAATATTGGAAATTTCCAAGGATATTCAAGGATAAAGTTTTAAACGAACATTTTCAACATTTATTCGTCCTGGTGCAACAAAAAATTAAATTTGTTTCTATTCTACAGAATTTTTCCTTTTAAGTGATACCCTTATTGTTACTCTACAATGCACCAAATCTTTTAAATAATTATTTTATTCAATCATATCATAGAAATTTCAAAGTCCTTTACAAAAATACAAAATTAAAAACGCACTTATTCTACTATGTACATATATTTGGCTCCTAGTTTTGCGAATATATTTTATTTTTTCGTTTGTTTTAAAAATTTTTAGCTTTTGTCGCACGGTGTTATTAATTCTCTTCCAAGTCAAAAAAAAAAAAAACGAAAAAAATACCAAATGTAAGAACTAATTTTGTTGTATTTATTCTGTTATTGCACGCATTTAGTAACGACTTAGAAGCTGACGATATACCAGGGTTAATTTTAACAAAAGCAACGAGACCCGCCTCCGAAAGAATTTTGGTTTGGTAGTTTTTAAAGGTATATTAAAGCCAAACCTGGCGTAAAAATAAAGATTACAGCGGCGAATGGCAAGCGCAAGGGGATGCAGGTGGCCAATTTTTTAAATTTGCAAAACTTTGGAGCGAGAGACTTTCGTCACTTTTGACTTCCAGATCAAAGTAATTGCTAAGCACTCGAGCTCCAAGGAAGGCGCAGAACTAAAGGAATTATATGGATCCTGGCTTTTATCGACGGAGAAAACGAGTAGGGTTAGCTTTAAACTAAAAAAAAAAATCTATGTAATCAAGTTAATCTAACTAATGATACATATATGTAGGTACTATTTTAAATACGTAATTGATCACAGTTTTATGAATAGCATAAGATTTTGGAAAAGTATTGTTATTATTTTACTAAGAATACAACGAATCGAAATAAAAGTTGGAAGTATTATGTCGATATTTGGACTTTAGTTGACTTCATCGATTTTTGGGCACGTAAGTTTAATTAATTAACGGTTTTACCCTCCTTTCTGCGTCCAATGGGGCGCAGTCCGCATGACGTACGCAACATTTTTTTTCGAAGTAATTCAAAACACATTTTACAATTTTCTGTTTTTGTTCATAATTGTAGAAGCAACTAGTGCTCATATGCATGACATCGGTCCAGTCTAGGCGCCAGCAAAACTTCAATTTCGTCTTCTTCTTCATAAATGTAGAATACGCCAAAACACCTATTGGACCTAATATGCAAGAAATCGATTCAGTATATTATTTTATTCCACATATGGCAACACCAACAGTATTTTTCTATACTCCCTCTTTCATTACTTTTGTTTTGCTCCCAATATTTGGTACATTTTGATTCAATTAACTGCGTTAGCAAATTATAATTAAATAAAAGATTTAAGTGCATGATTCAATAGTTGTTGATACGCCTTAATTTAAGCGCAATAAAATCAAGTTATTTTTAAAACAAAGCTGCTGTTGCCAAACTGACATGCATCCTCGACTTGGTCCAAAACGTACACTACCCGAAGGCACCGAGGAGGAAGCGGTTGAACTTAATAAACTTTATGGTATTTCAAGTGCTCTATTTAGTGCTTCAGCTAGTTCATATAGAAGCTCATAACACTTTTATTTTAGATGACTTACGCACAAAACTCTCCTTGTCACGTACTGACCGTTTAGCAGGCCGTGCGTTGGGTGCTTGGGACCCTGACGAGAAGGCCGTGCAGGTGCTACGGAAGGATGGAAAATTTGGCAATTTCGGCTACAGTCATAGCGGTCAATTCTATTTGGAAAATTATGAAGCCTTATTTTTGTTAGAAATGGTAATATAGCAGTTAATAATTCACACTCTAGCTCCTAATCTTACACACACATATTTACCTATAGAACCGCTTGCAATTGGAGTACCACTCAAAGATAATGTCTGTGGAACAAGGTTATTTGCTACTATTAGGCGAGGCACCTAACACTAAATTTAGCGAATATCTTGTTTATTCTCATCTCACGCGTATTGGTTTTATTTTGGTGCGCCACCAAAATGTCGCCTATTACGACAATGTTGAGCCTACGGAAGTGGATTGCGCATGGGCGCTCGCATTGAGCGTTATCAATAATCGCGCGATCCCAGAAAATGTAAAGAAATCTCCACACTTTGTCAAAGTCAAAATGCAAATGAAACACATAAAAGATTGCATTATGAAGCAGGAAGAACTAGAGCAAAAAGAAGTGGTGGACGACGAGTCGTTGCCGCCAGTGAACTTCGATCGTAAAATGGCATCAACGGGAAAACGAAAAAATGTGAGTGATGAAGTGGAAAACCCTACGGAAGCCAAGCGAAGATGTTTTGAGATTGCTGCTAAGCAACGAAGTTTTCTAGATTGTCTTAAGGATGAGCCCGAGTACAAGCAGTTTGAAGAGAGTTTCGCCAAAATTGATATTATAAAAATGAGGAGCTCTACAGAGAGTGCAGAAGATGAGATAAGGAATTTGCAGATTATTTTCGATTTGTATCTGCATAATGATGGATTTAAAAAGAGCGCACCGAAACCACCAACATTTCGATTAATTATATTAGGTGTAAATGACGCATTTCCAACGCATGCGGAAATATCACAAGCATATAATTTGCAGAAGTACCCAGTGCCGCTTTTAGTAGTTACGGTGGGAGAATCCAAGCAAGTGCAGGCATTCTTGTATTATTTTAGTTGATAAGGTGTTATTTTCAGCTGTTATTCACTTCTAAACTAATTTATATTGTTAAAACTACATATTTTAATGAAATAGAATCCTACCTAGATGGTTGGTTGATATGGCGTCGCTACGTATTTTATTAGCCTTTTTGTTTTTACGGGGTAGGTTAAATGGCGCTTATTAAATGATTGCATTAGCTCCACTTATGTACATATATGTATATACACTAAACTATTTTCGGACACTAGATTCTTTAAAAATATACGTGCGAATAAATTTTCCCGAAAACTACTTCCGGTTAACAAACAACGAACTCCCGCTTTTTTCCAAACGCATCGCGGCAGAGTGGCAGCACCAATCAGCTGTTGTAGGGTTGCATTTGGTTTGTTCTCACTTGTTACCAAATTCTACTAGTGTTGGAAAACTATCGATAGTGTATACATTCGATTGTCTCGATAGTGATAGTAAAAAATATACGATACTATCGAAAGCTTTCTTCCATATGGTGAGATTTAACACTAATGCCATGTTTCACCAATCAATTTTAAAATGTATCAAATTTAAAATAGCACAACATCAAAAAAAAATTTGTCATTTGAAATTATAACGGCCTGACAAATTTAAAATTGATTGGTGAAACTGGGCATAACATTTTGTAAATAGACAAATTTGATTCCATTTTTTATGGCCTAAGAAAAATTTGGCATGTGATATGACAGATCCCATCGCCTGTCAATTTCTTCGTTTCTGATTTTACTACATAAAAAAGATAACAACGGCCAGGAAGAGAGCTTATTCTTAAATAACCCTTTTCGTTAGTACAAAAACTATAAAGATTATTTATATATACAAAAATAGTTTGTGTAAAACGAAATGAGATCGTGTATTTCAATAACACATTATTGATAGATAGCTGCATACTGGCGTTATATCGATTGCTGAGTGGAAGATCGACCTATCTCGAATCGGCAGCTG